GGGGACAAAACTTCCAGCGAGATTGGATCCCTGAAAGTGGTTCGTGCTGACTTCCCCTGATTACCAGTTTCGCTGATGGATTCTTCTCCTTCTGAGAGCTGTCCTGCTTCGTCTTCATCATCGCTCTCGCTTTTACCGATTTGCGATTGTCCACCCTCCTCGAAAATCGCTTTAAGTGTTTCCCAATACTAGCCGGTAACGCTTTATTTTCTCGGTTACTTTTTTTTTTTTTTTTTAATAAATCTTACATTTTGCCGATGATTGCACGTGATAGTGCCCAAAGATACATTGCATCTGTGAATTGCGTATGATCCAAGTGCAGAATATCAGTACAGATTGAACTGAAAGCTATCCGAAATATCGAACAATTTCGACCACCATTTGCGCGAGTGAATTTTCTATAACGTTGAAAGCTATTGGTTTTGGAATACACCTGCGAAAAATATTGCAATGTCGACGGAACTTACGTTAGAAACTCAACGGCGTAATTATTGCGTAATTTGTATCTGTAGGGTAGACACGACTAGCGTGAACCATGCAGTTCGAAACGAATCTGATAACGATCGAGAAGAGAGAGGAAAAGAGAGGGGAAATGAAATTAAAACAGAAACCGGAGACAAACCTCAAAACGTACCATCGCGCCGCACTAACTCAGCTTACGGGAAAAAAATTCTGATACGCTGGCAAAACCAATTATTTCATGGGAATGCAGCTTGCGGTTCATTTAACGCAACGTGGCTACCTGATATTTTATATAAAACTGTCCACCGATGTGTGGAGGGTTGAATCAGTTTGCGGTCACAGTGACCGCACTGGCCACCGACATTTCACCAACAACGTTCACAACTTTTTTTCAACTCGTGTTACGCAAAGAATGCATTCGTTCGACCATTGGTAATCTATCGCATTACATTCGCGGCAGACGCGATTTCTTCCTTTACCGATTCCCTCATTAAACGCCTGAATTTGAACACACGAAATGGTAATGATTATCCCAGCAGTAGGCGCTAAAATATCCTTTTTTTATACACAGAAAGTATGGCTACGTTCAGCAGAGAAAGCAATTGTAAAATTCTTCAATATGATTCGTTTATACATTTAGATCTATAAAAATTCAAAAGCATTAACCAATTAAAACATGTTACGACAGTTGCAAAGCTGTTTTCTCTGCTAAACGCAGCCAATGATTCTGCTAAAATATCTAAAAATTTAAGTCGATACAGATCTGAAAATAACTGTGTAACTTCTAAAATTTTTGACATTTCAGCGATTGGCTTATTTCTGTATTTTGACAGAGCACATCAAAATAATTTTATACTGGATCTGTATCTAGTTTAATCAATCAAAATGTTATCTCAAATGTAAAAAGGAATATAATTGCTGTCATGTGAATTTTATTAACTTTGGGGCAATTTGATTGGTTAATAATCTGCTGCCATTATACGCGCAATGGAATATCTTATATTTTTATATCATAGTTCATTCCGCGTATTATTTACTTTTACATTAAAAGTAAAATGAGCTATTGAACGAGTATTGGAATATCAATATTTTATTTGCTTTTAAAGTACACTTTTTAACAGCAAACTCAAGTCTGAAAATGCCAAGACTGGATCGACTGAATCGATTGAATCTTGCACGAAGTTATCATCGCATATTTTCTCTTTATTTTTGTAACATCATTTGATTGACGCTTAAATTGAGTTAAACGTGAATCGGAACGCTTATACGAATGCGATAAAAGGCGATTAAAGATGCAGCTGTCAATTAACGAATGAAAACTTAATAACACTATGTATAAACCGCGAACGGAAGGAATTACTTGAGATTTTCTTCCCTGTGGCGTATAATCAAATTAAGCGTGACTCTTCAGTTTAAAATCCCGTCACTCATTTAAAAAGTAATCTTTATAGTTTCACTGAAGATTGTCTCCGTTAACCGTTCTTCATTAGTAAATTGGCCAACAGAGGTCGGCATCCCTCATTAAAGATACACCGTGCCGCGTATATACCGAAAAGTTTTCGAACTAATTTGCCGTAACTTCCTCTCGTAAAGGCTGTCTCCTTCCTTTATATTAAATAAAAATTTCAGTAATGGCATTCTTGTACAGCATCCAATTTGCGAAGATTACATTCCTCGCCAAAGGATCGAAGGAGGCTAACTATCAATAAGCTCGGAGGGACACTTCCTTTAATCGCGCATCTTCATTTCCAATTATTACTTTTATCAGAATTCTGATCTCGAGACGTCGGATTCACTGTTATTCTACGTTCGTACCAACACTCCTTTATCTTTATTAACACAAAATCACCGACAATCGGCGCTTAATGGCTTATAGCACATCTACGTTTTTATCTCTATTATGTACAAGGCGCAAAAGGACGTTAGGTATAAAGGCACATGTTCATTCCGCTGCAGAATTCGCTTAAAAACGTTACGAACGACGTTTCACAAGATCGCACACAAGTGCGCTTCACTCACAGTTTTAACAAATAAACTATAATTAACACTACGGGCTCGAGCGTGCTCGAGACGAGGAGAGCCTCGGGTGTGATTGTTAGTATCTAATTGTTTTGTCCGATGAATCGCGGCCCGCGGATCTTGATTTAGGGATTGATCGATCGTCGCGTCGCGTCGGTCGTTGTTTGCACCCATTTATTGGCGCGGCGAGAATTCGTTCGCTTTTCCAGCGCTTTTACACGCGGGCCGCAACAATATCGCGCATCTCGTACGATACGCCATTACTAATTGCCGGCAAGCCTGCCGTTGTCATGTGTGCGTGTTTGCGTGTACTTCACAATCGGCGGGCGTGCACAATCGTATTATCGACTATTGATTTCGGAAGGCATCGACTTGTACCGCAATGCCGTCCACGCGCGAAACGTATCGATTCCTTCCTTCGGTACAGCTCTGCACAAAGCGAATAGCGACACGCATCATTGTGAAAATTCGATCATTTTCTTCGTTTGAATAATTATTCGGATTACACGTGATCGTTTTCTTAGACTCCTCTTAATATTATCAAGTATCTTGCATTCTTTACGTTTGAGCTGTTGGGTGAAACAGCAATAAATTGTGCAAGTAAAGGATGATTTTGCTAAAATATCTGAAGATTTAACTAAATACAGATTTAAAAATAATTTTACTTTGGACCATCAAAGTAATTATACAGAAACGATGATGCGAAAAATTTCAACATTTTAGCAGCCAGTTAGAGCGTTCTACGTAATTATTGTGATAGTTCAAGATAAAACTATTTTTAGACACTTCAGTCAAATTATTATTTCCGTGTAACAGCTTTTTTTTAATTCATGAACAGAGTAAAATCTCATTTTCTTTTTTTATAAACTTTTTCTTCTTTTTTTATGTTACATGGAAATAATTATACTCTCAACAGGAATACTCAAACAGGAAATGTAATAATATGTAAATATAACTTTTTTTCTTCTATACAGTCACAATCTATATTACTATTTCGTCCAACGACTCTTAAAATAATATTAACAAGCTAACAATATTCTGAATCAACTAGTCTTTTATGTGTTTACAATCTGTATTACGTTTACAATGACGCATTAACAATATTTTGGCGATACTGGACTATTTATGTAGGCATATTTAATATATAATATTTAAAGACTCGCTTCTCGACGGAGACCCTGACAAGAAAACAATTAAAGCGCAGTGGAAGTTTTTGCGTTGGAAACACTGTCTATAGTCTTCGTTTAATGAGAAAGAACTAGTTTTGCTAAAGTATCTAAAATTCAGCTAGATCTAAAAATAATTTTATGAAACGCTTTAAACATTGATGATAATGGTACAAAAAATTTTAACGTTCTGACCATGCAGTTTAATCTTCTGACGACAACATGGATTTTGACTCTTCCGTTAGCAAAGGATCTTTGAGAAATAGGATACATTTTTTATTGTTTTGAATTATATTTTATAAGGAATTAAATAATATATAAAAATAAAAAAATTCTGATATAGGTATACTTATGAAAGCTTTAACGAGTTTTCAACCATCATATAAAAATTATATTTTACTTATTTTCACAAATTTAGGTATCTATTTAAATTCACAATCAGAATATTAATGGCTTTTAAAAACTTCAATTGTGGAAGAGTTAAACTCCCTATATAATCATTTTGATAACCTAAACAAAATTATTTTCAGATCTGTATCTAGCAAAATGTTTAGATACTTTATCATAACCGTGCTTTCCGTGTAGATTGACAAATACATATTGACAAATTCAGTTTACAAACCGTCACTACTAACCACAATATTCGTTAGATGGATTATAGTGCGATCGAAGCGTCCAACGGCGTCGTGTTCGAGTTTGATAATCTATCATGGAGCACTCCATGGGTTGATTTTCCCGCAAGTGTGTGTGTCAGTGGCGTGTATTGCCCGTGGTGGCTCTCGTATTTCCGTCTAACGATCAACTTCCGAGGCTTCTTATCCATTGACGAGGCGGGTGATAGAAAGAAAGAGGGAAAGAGATAGAAGGACGTCTATCGACGAGAAACGTTCGTAAAGCACCGATCGAAAGAAGAGACTGAGGAAGGTGCTTTGGCTCTCTCGCAGTCTAGAGCAGGATCTCATCAACGATTAAGAACCGCATCGAAGGTGCAGGACGCTTTTCTGCGTCAGGCAATTCCTCCCGTCAGAAGGGAAGGCTGATCACATCACAGACGGAAGTCGCTCCACCTCCGGTTTCTCTTTTATTGACGCAGCGGTGCTCATCACGACGAACGTATCCATTCCTTCATTCCCTCCCACTCTGGAAAAGGGGAAACATTCTTTGCCTTCGACGAAGATCGCTTCGATATTCATTGGGCAAAGATTTATCCACCAGTAATTTCCCCAGAACGCTTGTCGCGCGATTCATCGGCTCTAGTATGCTATCGTCGACGGCGATGCTCTTGCGACGTAGAATTCACGATTGTCACGATAATCTCGCCGTCGTGTTCTCCTCGCGATCGTCAGATGCTCTCGAACGTCTCCTCCTTGTTTCCTTTGAAAGTTCCGCAATCGTGACAGGGCCCGGGCGTCTCACGCTAGCTTCTATCGATCGATGTGATGGAATAGTTAAGTGACTGCGATCGCTTCCGCGTGTGGGAGGAAGATACGAAAATCCGAGTGATGGATTTATTAAAGAGAGAGAATAATTTTCCCCATGTATTCGGAGACTCGTGAGATATTTTTTGAGGCGCCGGTGATCTCACAGCACGCGTGTTTTTTTACTATTCCTCTATTACGAGGGAAGCACTTTCCTTTTAGGGCGATGATCGTGTTTTCTCCTCTTTCCTTTTTGTTTCGAGACGAGTATCGCGTGCCATTCACCGCCTTCTTCATTTCCTACGCACGAATATATTCTCCAGAAGCTCCTTCGTGATCAGTCGATGAGGTCTCGTCGGGCTCTCGGTGGGCGTACCGTAAAGACGACTGTTGATGGCGTAGAGCTTCGGGCTGAGCTCGCACCTTACGTTGAACCACCAGTCGCAGACGAAAACCGCTTGGCTGAATTGCGTGCCGTTCGGACAGAGAAACGTTGCTTGTCGACCGTCTATGTCGCAATAATGCCACGCCTGGCATCTCGTCTCCACGTCGGCGAAGAAGCCGGGGAAGGACTGATCGTCGCAGTAGAAATTCGTGTAAGGTACCTTTCCCAGCACCGGATAATCTGTGCCCGGTCGACCTGCAATTGCAATGAGTACCGTAAGTCCTTCTACTTCTAATGTGACTGATGCAGATACTTTAAGTGTGATTCAGCATATTAAATTGATAGAATTAAATATTTGTATAGATAGAATTAAAATATTCGTGTATATATTTTTTAATATTAATGAGGACATTTGATAAATTGAAACAATAATTGATATTTTAACCGTCTTCGATGTTAAAGTGTGTTTTATCGTTCTCCTTGATATCGTGTTCAATCGTATATTCGAAATCCTAAATAATTTATAGATTATTCCGACTGTAATTTCAACACTCACGAATTCCCTTTGCGTGAACCCACGAGCGCATATAAAGCGCCAAGCGATCTGGATGAGTTAGCTACTTAAATGAACGAACGCAAAGGGGTTAAACGACTCAGTGCAACCACGGTTCTTTGCCTTTTCTCTATTTCCGTTTCCATCTCTTCGTTTGTAGTCGCAACCATTCGAATCTCATCAGAAAATTGCAATTTCTCGCATAGCTTTATCGGACAATGGTACGATCGAACACTAAGAATAGACAGAGTATTTGTTTAAATAAAGTGTTAAAAGATAAAAGAAAAAGTAAATTAAAATGTAAAAATATATTGTCTTTTTTTAAAGAGATCTCATTTATATAATTTTGTGCTTGTATTGAAAAATTGCACTTAAGATAATTGTTATCTATAGAAAATTTAGCTGGATACAAATTTGAAAATAATTCCATTGGATCATTATAGGAGGCTCAAACTAGTTGCTATAGAATATCAAAATTTTTTGAAACATTCTTTTTGCTTAAGTTTTTTGCATATATAATTATTTTGATTGGTTCAACAAAATTATTTTCATATTTGTATTTATAAATTTTTAGATACTTTAGTAAAATTGTTCTTTCCGTATAAATTTTGTTTTATAGATTATACTTCACGACGGATGTGAAGATAAAAAATTTCATTCTTTGTCTTTGTTAAAATTCTTTACATATTCGGAATGCTTTTCTGGAATGAAAACCAAAATATCATCAATGTAATATCAATGTCAAATATAAATAAGTAATCTAAGATTACAAAAAGAAAATGTCTCGAAATGATTAAAAAAGATAAAAACAAAGGATAAACAACTCGAAACTGTTCGCGTTATGATTGAAGTTCCATAAATTCGGAGACACCGTTAAAATAGCCCGAGAAAGTACACTGTTAATGTTTAATTATATCTAATTTGAGTTAGTTTTAATTATTCTGTAGGTCGCTACTACTCAATATCTCATTACTTTAGCTAAAACAATGGAATTAAACAATTTAACTAAAAGAAAATGTATCAAGTTTCAAATTAAAGTATTCAAATTTAATTTATTATATATTATTATAAGTGTACATCATAATATGGACGTTGTTCATTTTGAAACTAATCACACACACATAGAAGTGAATTAGATTTTTCTAAAACTTTTAGAGTGAATTGTCATTCTGAAGAGTGACCTTACTCTAAAGATTGAAAATTGACCTACTCTTTTTCAAGATTGGCTTAATTTTCACTCTTTAGAGTGAGATTCCACTTCAAAGAATCTAAAGAGTACACACATGAAAGTTAAAAGTAACAAAATGTTATTTAACTGAAGGGGATTTGATTACCATTGTTTTTTTGATATTTAACAATGCCTCTTGGGTTCCTCCACCGACACCCTTACCGTCACTTTTCTGTTCTCGCCGGCTCTTTTCTCGTTGTATGAGGCTTGGCGGAAAACGAAATAATTAGACCAGCACGGTGCACGGGCATACCTTTGAAAGGGGTGAATAGCTCGAGAACGAGAATACGTTCGACGCGGTGTTGTCATAGATTCTGCCGAAGTTATAATTACGCAGCCCAACCACGAACTGGGATGAGGATGAGAGAGAAGCAGAGTGAGAAGGAGGGAGGGAGGAAGAGGAACGAGACAAGACAGAGGGATGGTTTAGCGAGCGGAAGTGAGACGGCGAGCGTTTATTCCATGCGGGTACGCAGAATCTCTTCCGCTGACAAAACAGATCGGACAAGCGGTGCAAGGTGTGAATTTCGTATGGATGTCGATGCGACACGGTCGAGTTTATGCGACCGCGTCGCTAGGTGCACGTTCTGTATACGTTCCAGAGGTGTTGCGCGTACAGACTGTTCCATTCGTCGCCCGTATCACATCGCATCACATCGGCGCCGCGTCGCATCGGTATTCCTGCAGGCACTCGAAATGAAACCTGGCCAATCCGCTATTTTCAGCCAACTTGAACGACTTTCCGTCGAGTGAAATTGAGACGCGACAATTTCTTAACTTGCACGAAGCTTAATAATGGAGATAACGCGTTACCAGACAATAATAATTAGAATGCTAAAAGTATATGTGGGTCATTAAAATTCTTATAAAGAAATGTTAATATTGGTTGGAGGAAAAGTTCTGCGGTATTTTATCAGCTCAAAATTGTATATATACATTTAAAAAATTAGCGATTACATCATTCGATAGAACAAAGTTTCAAAGCTTTAAAAATCTGATTTTTTAATTGCGGTAAGATGATTTTTCACGGAGTTATGAGTAATTAAAATCAAAATGTTCCTTTACTTACTTAACTCGCAAATAATTCAGAAACAAAAAATTCTAGGAACATTTTTTTAAAATAAATTTTTAGAAGAAACTTTAAGCTTTCACGTTAGTCAAAAATTTTCGCAAATTTTTTTTGGTGCACGACGGATCTATAAAGTGAGAAGAAAAATTTCCCTTTTTTTCAGCCTGTAGTTTTTTATATGTAAAAATTATCATATTCACGAACTAGAAAATTATAAAATAATTTGAGAATAACCTGATCGGTGTCGAAACGTTTGTTGTTTATAATTTAAATATATTTTCTTTGTTTTTCTCTTTTTAATTGTAATATTTTTATTTCGACTTCTTTTGCCCGTTAAATCATTTAATATTTATTTATAAAAACTTTTTGAAAGTAGAGATTTCAAGCTTTAAAATTTTTCTTTTTTTTTTTTTAATTTAATTTTTGTTCATTTTTGACGAAGATATTGTATTATATATGTATATGGTTTTAAGCCAACAAAAATCGCAGAATTTTTCTTCTAACGCAATATATTCTTTAAAATTCTTGTAAAAAAAAAAGTTGAAATCTGATTATTTAACAGAACTTTATGCTTCCATCTTTTGAAACAATCAATTTTAATTAACTTACTCGAACACATAAATGATTTAATCTTGATGGATGCAAGTAATTCCGTGTACGTGAAATGTCATTTGCTAGATGTTTAAAAAATTCATACATTTTATCATTAAATATTTAATTAAATACTTGCATTTTAGAGGATTTTAGTTAAAGCATGTTTCTCAGAGAAATGACATGAAGATAGTTTCATTACATCTACTACGAAAATCCAACTTTACCCTCTACAGTTTCTATGTTTCTCCGAGAGACTTTTACGTCGTTCCATCTTTGTCACACGTTCTCGTGAACGACGGTATTTCTGCTTGACAAAACTAAAGCTTGTCGTCCGATGAGATTCGAATAGTTGGACCGACAGAGACGCAGAGAGAGAGAGAGAGATTGGTGAAGAGATTAGAGAGAGTTGTCCGAGAACACAACGGACTGCTGTATCGTTTAAATCGGGATGCTTAAAACAAATCCAGCCCTATAATATTGCTAAGAAACTTTATTACACAACTGAAATTACGTACGTATTGTGGATGGTTTGACAGTGCTCGTAATATCGGGGCGTGTAAAACGTGGAAACTAAGGAAATAGAATTGCTGTCTTTCGTATTAATGTTTATTGTTTCAGTTTATTATCTTCTTAATAATTATAGTCATTATATAATATTAAAAATTTGCATTATATGATATGATAGGACATTTTTGAAGTGAAATAACAGAGTCAATAATTGTTTTCGATAAAAAAGATGATAATTGATGAATTATATCTTTCCTCTCTTTCAAATAGGAATTACTTTATGAAATCTTTTGACAGTTGTGGTGATATAAAACTGTACATTTAGAAGATGAATTTTTTTATTCTTATTGTACATCTAAGATACTATCTCCCGCGGAGCTAACGACGGAACTTTCTTAATAAGCGTCGACCTCATTTTTAATTCTCTTCACCAATCAGAGAAAAATGCTGGTTCGCCATGGTATTTGTTATTCGAACACTTCTTAATATTACTTTAAGGAAATCGTGCGACCTCAGCGATTCCATTCTTGCACGAATTTTACGCGTTGGCACGCGACCAACGTTTCTCCGCGCGACGAGACCGGTCTTGTTATCTTTCCCGTTGAGAGATCAGCGTACTTTCCTCTCGCGTGTAATCTTATAAAGTCCTACGTCTCCCTCTCTTTTGGAAGTAAAACAAGAATCTTTAAAATCAAGGACTCGGACGGGCGCATCGCACCGTCGCGAAGCTATACGTCGCCAAACGTCGCTTCCGGAAGATCCATGGCGGTTTTCTGGCTCCGCGCTTTATTTAACTTTTCCATGGCTCTTTTTACCCGCATCTGTTTCGGCTGTCTGAACCGTTTCTAAACTAAGACCGAATCATGAAAACTGTACACGGTTTTATTGAAATATCTAAAAATTGAGCTAGATGTAAAAATCTGAAGATAGTTTTCTTGGACTATCAAAATAATTACGAAGGTTTAACGTTCTTGAGAGAGATGGTTTAAAATTAAATTATTATTTTTAAATCTATATGTAGCTAAATTTTTAGATACTTCAGCAAACTCGTTTTTTCCGTATATTTCTACAAGAAAGCGCTGCTCAACCAAATTGAAAATATTTTTAATACGAAATATTTTGTTTAAAAAAAAGACGTATAATTTCTTAACGCGCAGTGTATAGATTTAGCACATTTTAAGAACATTAATAATTTTGATATTAATAAGAATAATATGTAGTATAATATTTTAGACGATACGTGTTTCCATACGTATAACGATCATTTCGCTTTGTTACTTATTGTACTCCATTCGCTGTTCGGT